CCCCCCCACCCCACTAGTTTTAAATAAAAACTTGCTAAATCAACAACGTCCCCCCCCCCCCCTTCACTGAACCCAAACATTTGGTTGGAAAAGTTTCCCCACTAGCTCTACCTCAGGCTCTGCCGAGGGGTCCAGCTGCGGGGTCAGCGAACCAGACTTAGTCCCCAGGGTGGAGGCCTTCTCTGGGGCCGGAGGGGGGAGACACCACAGATTAAGGCCAGAAGGAACCACTGTGATCACCTACTCTGACCTCCTGTAGACACAGGCCATAGGACTGCCCTGAGTTAGTTCCAGTCTGAACTAGGGCAGATCTTTTAGAAGATCCAATCTGGATTTAAAAATGGCCAGTGACGAATAATCCTCCTGCCCATCCCTAGATGAGCTGTTCCAAGGGTTAACCACCCTCACTTGGGCACAAGGCTAGTGCTGGATAAGTGATCCCAGTTCCTTCCGGACTCCCCCCAGTGACTAGCGTGTGCCTGGGGGCAGGACCCTGGCTCTGGTCATTACCACCCACCAGCTCAGCTGGATCCGCCCCTCAAGGCCCTTGAATATCCCCCACCTGTGGTGGACTCTCCCAGCAGGGGGTCCTGGCTGCCTTCGAACCACTGGCCATCCTGCTCCATGGCCTTCTGGGCTCCCTCGAACATGCGCTGGGTCATCTCGAAGAGCGGCCCGAAGAGCTGGTGGAAGCCATGGTGCCGGGGTGGGGAGAAGAAGGGGTGCGTGTCCCGGACCACCCTGGCGTTTGAGTAGGGGAAGCGGAAGCGAAAGGGGGCGTGCATGGCCCTGCGGGAGCCCCCGGCGAAGGGCGAGCGGAAGAACGGGGCCATGCGGCTGTAGGCCCGTGTGCTCTCCTGGAACAGGTCGTCCACGCTGTCTTCCACTAGGCTGTAGCGCTCCTCCAGGTCCTCCAGCCAGCGGCCCTGCTGCTGGTCCTCCTCCAGCAGGGAGTCAATGCGCTCGCCATTCACCCAGATGGAGACGGGGGAGGAGTGGTTCAGGAACTCCTCCAGCTACCAGAGCAAGGCAGGGACAGGATGTGGTGAGCTGGGCAGGCCTCTGCAGACCCACCCACCACCCACCCTACACAGAGCTGGGGCCCACGCCGCTGCATCGCAGGGAGACCCACTCCCTGCTACCTCAATGGGGCCGAGTCGGTGACCGCTACAGGCCCCGGGGAACCTGTGCTGTGGACCCGTATCCATATGGAAGATGTGGTGGACAATGACCGTCAGTTAATTCCTGTTGGCTCTCCAGAGGCTGAGAGACAATCAAAGCTAGAGCCCCCTCTCCCCCCAGTACAGTCTGTCCATCTCAGAGTCGGAGCCATTGAAGAAGTCGACCACGAACACACTGGTCTCCTGGCACCACTGAGCCCTACAGGCTCCGTCCTCAGCCACATCACATGCTAGCCCACTCTCCCATACAAGCCCTGCTGATCTTTCATAGTGTCCCACACCCTGGTAGAAAGAGGTCCCGTCTCTCCTATACCACGATGCCAAGCGCCAGAGAAGGACCTAGACCAAACAGCTCACTCACCTGCCGGCCAACCAGGCCCGAGCCGCTCCTGCACGTCCTGGAATAGAACCTCATGCAGGTCTGCTTCAGGCAGGGCTTGCATTCCTCCCACAGGGCCAGCATGGTCTCATTGCACACTTCCGGCTTCTCGGTCAGCTTCTTCTCCGTTTCCTTGGCTAGTTGCATGGCTTGCTGGAAGCGAAGGTGTTAAAACCAGGACTGTGAGGGGCTGGGCCACTAATGGGGATTCTCCCTTAGCTCAAGAGGCAGGAGCCTGGGTCTTTAGAGCAGGCGAATCAGAGTTCTAGCCCCACTCTTGCCAGGAAGAGCATGGGAAGCCCACCACCTAAGGAACCTCAGGGTGGGGCTGTGGATTTATTAGAGATTGTCCCCAAGCTCCCAATGCAGAGGGGATAAGTGACATGGCCATTTTAGACTCATTTTGCCATGTTCCATGTGAGTGTCAGACCCCCATGGCCCAAATTGCGGCGAGATTCAGCGAAAAGCTTTGCAGGGACAGATTCCTGCAATTTGCTCACCTCTTTCTTCTGCTTGGTCTCCTCCAGCGTGGTCAGGATCTCCTGGTGGTCTTTGCTGGTTTTGTCCATGAGGCTTTTCATCTGCTTCACCCCGTTGATGGCATTCTCGATCTCGGTGTCTATGTATTTGCTCCCGGCTACAGACATTTCTGAAGGGGGGCGGGGGGAGAAGAAGTTAATTGTCTCAGGAGAGACATGCTAAGATGGTCTTCTGCTGAGGATACCTCTTCCAAGATGGCCACCCAGACTCCACAAACACCATCTTCCCCACCCAAATATTTGGGTCTCCAAAGCCTATTTGCCCAAAAAAGGGTCAAATCCAATTTAGCTGAAATTTCACACAAACTTCTCATTTGCCCAGCTCCATTCTCAGGCCACCAAGGCCCGAACCTTGCTTAGATTTGGGCTGGGACCCTGCCAGAGCAAGGTAGCCAACAACTGAATTTTGTTGCCAAAGATCTAGAGTAAAGACTGATCCCACCCAGTCCCCCTGAGCCCACTCCCCTCTGAGCCACGATAGCCTGCTCTCAGGTGTGCCTTTTCCACAGGACCCCACCTAGCAAACCCTGAAGAGTTGATACTTGTGCCGTGTCACCTGGCGGGGAGCTGTGGGAGAAATGATCTCATGATGCAAGCATCTGGCTTGGACCCAAAACACTCCTGATGCCAGGAACTTTGGGAGGAAGTTTGTTTAGATGGGCCTGATCCATATCACCCAGCCCCAGATCCAGATTTCCCCAGGGCTTGGGGGACCTGGCCTCAAGGGGTTTGGACCACAGATTCCTAGATCCCCAGGCCAGAAGGGACCATGTGATCTCCTGTACAGCACAAGAGAGAGAACAGCCCCTCAATAATTCCTAGAGCAGAGCTTTAAGAAAAACATCCAGTCTTGATTTAAAAAACCGTCACTGACAGAGAATCCACCACGGCCCTCAGTAAACTGACTCGGTCCATCCCAGATCTTTTGTTTTGGTTCCTGGGGGCTCTTGCGCCCGGTTTCCAGGTTCTTTCCAGCCTGATCCAAAGAAAGTCAGCCAAAAGCCTGGAGGTTTGCCATGTTTCAGATCTAAACCCACATCAGCCTAGCCCCCTCCCCTGTTCGTCCCACACAAACGCCAGGGCCCCACACGCCAAGTTAGCCCCCCACACCTGCTGGGGTACCTCCCCCCATACACATGCTGCTCCCCTGACTCTTACAGGTGGTCAGTACAATGGTGATGGGAGCCATAGATAAATAGACCCACTTTTTTGGGGGGTGGGGTTCCTAGAAGCAACCCCTAGCAGCAAAGCCCAAGTAACAGCCGTGGTCAGTGGCTGGCGAGGCACCCGTCAGCTGGGGCACAGGGCACAAATCACAAACTGATCCCTGTATCAGCCTGCCTGGCCCTGCAGCGGAGCGTCATGCAGTCCATGGCGCTGTGTCTCCCGTATTACCCCGCGTGTGCCGATCCCACCAGCCTCAGCCACCTGGGGAGTTTCCGCCCCGGCGCATGGAGCCTCCCCAACGCCACTTACGTTGCAATTCATTGGGAGGAACCAGGGCCTGGCCTTCCTCCCAGGACAGCAGGAGCCCCAGCAGCGAGAGCAGCAGCAGCGTCATCTTCCTCACCTCCTAGCAAACGCCAAGGTCGTGTGCAGGCCTGAAAGACAGGGAGGAGAAATCAGACAGACTCCCCCTCGCCGAGGGCACGTTGTACCGACGGGGCCGACAGATCTACCCACGCACAAGTATGTGGACGCTCCTAGGAGGTTACAATAACCTCAAAGGACAAATGGTGCCGGGACAAGGTACAAGGAGACAGAGCGACTGAATGAATCTAACCAAAAAGGCCAGTTGATCTGATTCAAGGACAGTGTTGCAATTATGCTGGTTAGAAAAACAGGACCTAGAGCCAGAAATCAGTAGGTCGGAGATGAGGCCTAATTCATGGACAAAATAATGAGGGGGGTGGGCTATTCTGCCCATCACTTGCTTTTACGGTCCTTAAAGCTTTTGGTCAGGCTTGACAAAGCCCTGGCTGGGATGATTTAGTGGGGGTTGGTCCTGCTTTGAGCAGGGGGTTGGACTAGATACATCCTGAGGTCTCTTCCAAACCTGATATTCTATGATTAAAAGAAAAATAGTTGAATGGGGAAAGTACAAAAGAACAAGAAAAATAAAAACAGGCTACTCCAGCAAGCTTCCCCATCCCGACTGGCACCCCACCATCCCCTAGGCCTTCTTCAGCCTCACCCTGAGAGATGTCCTGGCCAGAACAGGCCAGAGAGCAACCCAGACGAGATCGCCACCTCCAGATGTGTCCCAACCACCATCATCTTTGACACCGTCAAAGACTGCCAAACTGGGGGCTTTTCCTTCTAAAAATGGTCTCCAGCTAAAAGGAACAAGGGATGTTGTTCAAATGAAAGCCTGGACTTGATACTTTACATTTCAAATGCTTTAACAGTTTAAAAAAAAAAATACTGGTGCGTTTGCCACGGTGCTAAGCAGGCTGTCGTCTCTGTATAGCAAACCCCAGCCTTGTCAAACACCGGATGGTGACTCGTTATGTTGACAGCTTTAGCCCTTGCAGTGAATACAACAGGCTGCTCCAGCCCAGAGGCCCGAGAGAGAAACGCATTCAAGATACGGGGCGAAAAATGGTCCGGGATTTAACAAGAGCCAAACTCCACCAGCCTGACCAGAGGCCTGGGAGCCAGGAAGAACTAAGCTCTAACTTCTGCTCTGACCCATGCTCCTGTCATGGCCATGGGCCTGTCACTTATCCCCACACTACAGTGGAAGGCAGAGCGTTTACCTCACACAGGTGTTTGGGAAGCACCATGAAAGCATCATGCCTTTCCTAAGTGCTACATATCACAGCAGCCCGTTTATCCCTCTGGCACCATGGCTATGCCCAGCACTGACCCTGGATAAAGCCGTGTATTGAAGGGATTGTTTAATTCACTGGTTCAGCATCTCTGATCCCTCCAGAGCTGGTCCACACAGAGGCTAAGAGCCTACTACTGCTACAGCTTATGGAGTTACTCATTTAGTTTTTTGTGCTGAAGGTCCCAGGCTCTATCCTGCTAGTGACCCTTCGGGGAGGGATTTTGGTCTCAGCAAGCTGGAAAAATAGGATCTAGATTCGGAGCGCTCAGCAGTCCGAGGGGTTTGGATCCAGCTCCATCTCTAGCTCCGTCCCAGCCACATCAGAGACTTGCTGGGGTGGGTGTCTGGACTGGGGACATGAAGTAATGCTCATGGGGGGAGCAGGGCTGGTCTAGACTCAGGGGAGACTGCTCTTTGGCCACAGGCAGAGTAGGGTCTGCACCCCAATTTGAGTGACCCCACAGATCTCAAAGCAAGAGGACTGAATAAACGAGGACTGAACAGTGACCGCTCCAACCACGAGCAAGCCACGCTGTAGCTCAGAATTAGGACGGCTTGGCAGAGCTTTGCACCGAGAAGCAAAACAAAACCACAGGAGAAAAAAAAATGAGCTATGACTCATTTGAATGACTCGGCCCCCACGCAGGGGTCTCTGCTTATTTATACATGCACAAGGCCCTGGTGTCCCTGCTGTGACCCAAATGCCCACGAATTTCTGGCCGGGGGGAGCTACCGCAGCCCTGAACTCCGGCCGGGAGCAGATGCCAAGACCTGATGCCTTGGAACATCTATTGTGCAGACATCGGAAGGTCTTACATAAGAGCCCCCAACCCATGTTGCGAGCAGCTGGAGGACAACCAGTTCCAGCCCTGCTTTGGGGGCGGGCTCTTTCCCGACAGGTCGGTGAATCACAGCGCAGTTGGCATGGGCTTGGGGGGAGTCTGGGGCCAGGCTGCCTCACATTTCTCGCCCGCAGCGTTCGTGAGCAGCTCAGTCAAACCCTGCCAGAAGCTAGAGAATAAAGTAGGAGAAAAAAAAAAACGGATCCGCAGAGGCCCATCTCTGCTGTCTCCAATTCGCTACAGCCACGCGGGACGCAGGCTCAGCCCTCGCTTTGGTACGCCCCAAACCCAGCTGGATTGCAAGCCAACAAACCCAGGGCACGCGCAACAGAACACCTGGAACCCTCGAGGCTGAGCAAAGCTTCCTGTGTTTTCCAGCCGGCAGGAACATGAACGGTTTCCTCCACAGGCGAGAGCCCAGCTAGCGCGTTTGCTGGAACAAGACGCCAGAAAGGTTTGCCTTCGAGCGTAGCGCCCGCTGCCAAATACAATAGGGGCAAGTGCGTCAGACGCCGGGAGAGCGGAGACCATCAGCAGAAATAAAGTTAACGATCAGGACCTCTGATCAGCAGATCTCAAAGATGGGCTGGTAGCAGGATCCCCATGCAGCGGCTGGGGAAACTGAGGCACAGCAAGGCACAGGCCACACAGCAAGTGGAGAGCTGTTAGAGCACAGGTCTCCTGCCTCTAGCTCCGTGCTGTAGCCACTGAATGACACTGCCTCGCAGATCAGCAGGTAGCACGCACTTCACTGCATTGTCATTGCCTTCCTGGGCTTCCCTTTCAGTCCTAGGCAGCAGGGGAGGCTTTGAATTAAGCCTTCGGCACAGGGGGCTTTTACTGGGGACAGGGGCTGGGGATTGTCACATCTGGCGACAGCAGGAATCAATGCAGAGTCCCTTGTCAAGCAAAATTCTGCACAGGCACCCCCATTCGCCAGCAGCACCGGGGAAGGGGGGGCAGCACCCAGACTGGGTTTAGCTCCAGCTCTGCGGTGGGGCTGGACCCAGCCCAAGCGAATGACGCCAAAGCGATAACAAGACGCTGAACGACCTTGCCAGAGACACCAGATCCCTCAGGCCAGAGGCAGCGGGATCGATCGGAGCGGAGCAGCAGGAGCCGCATGGCAACCGAGGGGGAGACAGAGGGAAGTGTAGGAGTCCGGGGGTGTAGCTGGGAAGTAGCAGCTCTCCCAGGGAGGGGGGACTGGACAGGAGGGCAAGGAAAGAAACACAAAGCAAGCCAGGGCAATCAGAACTTGTCCGGTGCAATGGAGTCCAGGGTTATTTAGAGCCTTAGAAAGTGAAGGAATGAAGCTACCCCATTAATCCAGCCTGTGCTCCCCACAGTGCTGCAGATGCCCCCCAGTCCTGACCCACAGCCCCCTGCTATTCCAGTCCTCAGCTCCCTGAGACAGCTCTGTAGATGGCCCCCCCTCCCAATCCTGACCCACAGCCCCCTGCTATTCCAGGCCCGGCCTTCGCCCACACATCTCTGATGCTGCAGTCCTGAGTGAAACAGAGGCCGACAACCCTGCTGAACTGGGGGGTAGTTTTCAACTGAAGTTGTCCAGCACCTTGTCAGGGTTAGGAGAAGATCGGAGACTCATCTCGCTTGTGATCTAAGCCCGGAGCACAACCTGACTGCAGCCCTGGGCATTACCCCGGCGCTCCATGGGTCCCACGTAAATATCTTCAATATGGTTTAGGAGGGGGAACAATAGTCCCTGTGGGGCCCCCCTCCCTACAGAGGAATCGCTTCACAGACAGCACCGTAGCTGTCCAGTGTTGTGGTCAGAGAGCATTTTGCCGTTACCTTGAACTCCCACTCCCCATCAGCGCAGGCTCCCCGCACCAGGCGCTGCTATGGAACTACTACCGGTTTTGACCGATTCCCCCCCAAAACATCCATGCATGCCCCACCCCCACACTAGGCAACTAGCGAGGTGCATTGTGGTTATTCTCCCCTCCCCCGCATTGCTCAATTGTTGATGTGCATTGTGGTTATTTTCCCAATGTTTAAATACCATGAGTCAGAGCCCCAAGAGATTGGTTTAAAACAAAACAAAAAAAATCTGGAGAATAAAAAAACCAAACAACAAAAGCTGGATTTTTTTTTTAATTGGCCTTCCAGGCCTCTAGCAGAGGTCCCATTTTCAAGCTTCTCTGCACCTAGGAGAGCGAGAAGTGAACTTTGTAAAAAGAAAGCCGGGCTGTGACTCGCTGGGGTTTTGAAAGAAAAGCCTAACTATCACAAGACCCGCAATAAAACAGTCAGTGGCAGCAACATGGTTGCCCTCACTGCATTGCACAAGTGGCCTAGTGCACTACGGCTAATTTCACCTTCCTTTGAAGCGTCCGGCATTGGGAACGCCTGGAGGCAAAGTTCCCAGGTTTGCCAGGCCAATGGTCTGCGTACAAGAACCAACCGAATGCCGAGAGCCACTAACTGCATCACTCTTTCACAGTCAGGCATTCTCTCCCATACATTGTTTAGTAGCACCTCACTTTCGTAATCAAGACATGCCAGTGAAAAGCTGGAAATGGCCAGGACATGGCAAATCACTAGGGCCTGTAGCCCAGTAGGACATGTCCACAGGCAGCCCATTCCCACCCAAGGCCCCAGAACTGGCCAAGATGTAGGAATTCCCTCCTGACCCCAGGTGGGGAGCCCTGAAGCATGAGAATTCCCCTGGGTTACATACCTGCAGAGAAGGTGGGAATACAGGGGACACTGCTGAAAGTACCCTGCAAGGAGCCCATGGGGGGAGGAAATGACATGGGACAGTTAAATGCCCCCATCCCACCGGACCAAGCCGTGCACAGGCCTTAGTTACACCCACCAATCTGTCAGAGAGAGCCCTTGCAAGCCCAGCCCTGCTTTGAGGTGGAAATGGGGTGTGCCGGTCCCTTCCCCCAGGCGGGCAGGGTGAGCTAGGGCTCCCTCTTTCCCTAGGGATCGCCGCATGGATCCACCCCTCCCCTCCCACCCAGGACGGAGCAGGATCCCCCACGCCCCCTAGCCCCGTCTCTCTCCCCTCCCCAGGAGCGCGCACTGCCGCGGACGCTGGAGAAGCGCCCCTTACCCGGAGCCTCCAGCTCCATCCCTGGCGCCCCGCGGGGCTTTGCCCAGCGGCCAGGGCCGCCCTTGCGGAGCTTGGGGCGCGCACACCCCTCGCCGCAGCCCATCGCCCCGGCAGGGCGCATCGGCAGCTGCAGGCGCTCAGCGGAGTTTGCACAACTACGGGGGCGAACCCAGCCCTCCCCCGAGCTCTCCCCGCGGGGCTCACCTCTGCGTCCTGCGCTGCAAAGCGGGGGCTGCAGCGCTGGGCACCGTATTTATACCCGCGCCGCGCTCTGAGTCATGCCCGCAGAGCGGCCTGGAAAGGGGCCGGCCCGGCCCAGCCCGGCCCCTGCGTCTCGGCGGCAGCCAGTGGGCGCCCTTGCACCGCGCACGGCCGGGCTGCGTCCCCCCGGGGGCTCCTAGGCGGACGGGGGCCGCTGGAGCGAGGCTGCGGTGAGGGGCACATCCCCCCGCCACACACTCTCTGGCAGCGCCATCAATGCGCTCCTGGCTGGGTCCCACCTGAGCCAGGGTCCAGGCGGGTGCCTTGGTCTGCTCCAGCTACTGGGTGCCCCAGAGGCCCGGCCCCCTGGGGGTCACCCAGCCCAGCACGGGGTCAGCAGCGATCAGGGGGGCTCAAGGCCCCGCCTGTAACAGGCGCTGGGTCTGCTTGCAGCCCCCCGCCCCATACCCTGGTCTGGGAAACCCCAGGCACTTCACTGCCCCTTTCCTCTCTCACCCTGAGCTAGGATCTCCGATGGCCTCCCTCTGCCACAGGTGCCTTAGGAGAGATTAAAGGGCTCGATCCTGCTCCCCTGCAGAGCTCAGCTGTGCCTGCCCATTCCCTGTCTCCGGCTGCTGGTCTCTGTCTAGCTCTGGGGTCTCATGCAGTGACTCGGCCCGTTTGGCCATCTAGGGATATGTTACCGGGGACGATGCTACACGGTGCTCCTTCTTCCAGCCCCCTTTGCCCCGGACAGATGGGCCAGGAAGAGCATCCCCCTTTGGGAAGGGGGAAACTGAGGCCCAGAGTTAGTGGTAGAGCTGGAAATAGAACCCAGGAGTCCTGCCCTCCCTCCATTAACCACAAACCCATTCAGGCCTCTCACTACCATCTACCTCTTCTCTTCTCCCTTCCCTTCTTTCTCTACCCACAGCCTTCTCCTCCATCCTCCCATAGCCTCTCCAGCCAATGTCCCCAGTGGCTCCCCCTGGTCCTCTCTTTGCTGTGTGCATCACCTCCCTAGGCGTATCTCCCGCTCCACAGCTTGTGCAGCCAGATTCCAGCTCCCTGGGGCTAGCAGGTAAGTTGTGCTCCTTCCTCCCTGCTCCTTGCCCTTGTGAATTGAGAGACGCAAGGTGGGGGGGGGGGGGGACACACAGAAGGGATGGCACAGCAGCCCTTAGGAGGTGGGTGGCTCATTCCCAGGTGAGTGAAGTCCTGGAACAGCCTTCCAAGGGAAGATATGGGGGCAAAACCCTAACTGGCTTCAAGACTCAGCTTGATAGAGGGGATGGGATGATGAGACTGCCTACAATGGCATAAAGAACAGGAGTACTTGTGGCACCTTAGAGACTAACAAATTTTGTGGCCCATCAGCGACAGCTAGCAAAAATCCCATGTGGCCAGAGATAGGACATTAGATGCGAAGGGCTCTTCTACTACAGAGAATTCTTTTCTGGGTGTCTGGCTGGTGGGTCTTGCAGACATGCTCAGGGACTGACTGATCGCCGTATTTGGAGTCAGATTGGCAGTGAGTGGTGGTTGTTTTTTTCTTTCCTCTGTGTGTGAGCACGGGTCACTTGCAGGTTTAAATTAGTGTACATGGTGGATTCTCTGTAACTGGAAGTCTTGACATCATGATTTGAGGATGTCAGTAACTCAGCCAGAGGTGGTGGGTCTATCACAGGAGTGGGTGGGGTGAGGTTCTCTGGCCTGCAACATGCAGGAGGTCGCACTAGATGGTCATGATGGTCCCTTCCGGCCTTAAAATCTGAATCTGAGTCACAGTTCAGTTCACCTGTACTTCACCCTTATAGGCACCCACTGTTGGGCTTCTAATTCCCAGCCATCACCTCTCTTGGGTGGAGACCCACATCTCTCTCCCTCCTGACCAGGGTTTTCCCAGGCTGCACACTTCCCTGCCTACACTGCGATATCCCCAGCAAGCCAGACTGCCTGAACAGCCCAGGGTCTGCGCTTTGCTCTCTCTTCAGAGGCCATAAAGAGTGTAATTGCCCCCAGTTAGACGTGACCACCCTGCCCTTTCTAAGCAAGCGCCTTTATTCTTAAGGTGAAAGCATTACCAAGAAAACATCGTAAAGAGACTCCAAGAACCTACACTTGTGCTAACCAAAGATCACCCCAATTCCGTCAGTCCTTCCAGCCCCACCACAGCGTTTTGCAAGTTTGCCACAGCCTCAACTCAGTTTAGCTGGGCCGCTCGGCCTGTTTCTTTATATCACCTGGACCTTTGATCTTTAGGAACAGGCAATCCGCAGACAATCGCCCCTCTCAGGGGGTAGCTTCAAAGCCTGAGTTTTTGCGTAACCGGAGGTGGAAGTTTGCATTTGCATTCGCCTCCCGCTAGACTTTCCCCAGGCATTTGATACTCTTTGTCCCCAGAGTCCCTTTCGTCACTGTCGAGTCCTTTGAAGTTCAGAACGCTTCCCAGAGTTCCCGTCCCATTGATCCCCTGCAGAAAGGTTACATACGATCCTCGCCCACAGTAAAACACCCCCTTTGTATTTAGCACAATGGACTCCAAAGAGACTTAAACGTCGTTCAATAAGGTTTTCCAAGCAGCTTGCAGGAAACTGCCCCTTCTGTCACTCTGGGCAGGGCTGCGGACAGGGGATGCTTGGCAGATGCTCGGAGGCTGCACGTGGCTTTTTAACCCTTCTCATCTCTCCGCTGCACCACTTCTTTTTCCAGTCTTGCTGCCCTTTCTCCCTGCCCCACCCTCAGCCCTGCCTGCTTCAGGCATCTTCCCAGACCAGGAGGGCTCGGGGTCTTTGAGGCTGTTGGTAAATTTCATAATGTAACCCGCACCCACACGTAGACTTATATTAACTAGAGGGTGCCGTTAGGGGGCCTATACATTGCCCTGGCCCTTAGGTTCTAACCCAGTTCACCAGCCCAGCAGTGAAGCGACTGGGCCAAGAGAATATATAGGGTCTAACCCCATCCCTAACTAGCATAAATACCACATGTGAGTGGGGCTTTTGTTATAAAACGGGTGAGGCCTGATGGCACCTGTGTATAGGCCTGTGGTGTATAATGGTGCTTTGCGGTACGGGATCAAGTCATGTTCCGGCCAAACACTGCAGGAATCTGGGAACGCTTGGATGAAACTCTGCTGGTAACCTCCCCGGCTCAGGCTTTTGTCTATAATGACCTAGAACTGGATTGATTCCTCCAGCGCAACTTGCCTCCCCTAGCTCCTGAGGGAGCTTGGGATTGCGTCTGGATCTCAGTCATGGGGTTGGCTAAGCGTGCATCTCTTGGGAGATGGCTCCCTGGGCCGGTAGGGGTAGCATGCCCCTACGTCATGGGTTCAAATCCAGTCCAGCTTGGGCATCATGCAGCAGCTATTGATCAGGCAAAATTAGTCAGTGGGGTCTTGTTCGGGCCCTAGGAGAGAGGTGTCTGAGGCCCATATCCTCAGCAGTATTTAGGTGCCTAATTTATAGAATCATAGGATTAGAAGGGACCTGAGAGGTCATCTAGTCCAGTCCCCTGCACTCATGGCAGGACTAAGTATTATCTAGACCATTCCTGACCTGCTCTTAAAAATCTCTAACAATGGAGCTTCCACAACCTGTTTAGGTAATTTATTCCAGTGCTTAACCACTCTGACAGATAGGAAGTTTTTCCTAAAATCCAACCTAACCCCTGTGCTGCAATTTAAGCCCATTGCTTCTTGTCCTATCCTCAAAGATTAAGAAGACCAATTTTTCTCTCTCCTCCTTGTAACAACCTTTTATGTACTTGAAAACTCTTATCATGTCCCCCCTCAGTCTTCTCTTCTCCAGACTAAATAAACCAGATTTTTTCAATCTTCCCTCATAGGTCATGTTTTCTAGACCTTTCATCGTTTTTGTTGCTCTTCTCTGGACTTTCTCCAGTTTCTCCACATCTTTCCTGAAATGTGGCACCCAGAACTGGACACAATACTCCAGTTGAGGCCAGTTAGCACAGAGTAGAGCAGAAGAATGACTTCTTGTGTCTTGCTTACAACACTCCTGCTAATACATCCCAAAATGATGTTTTCTTTTTTTTGCAGCGGCGTTACACTGTTGACTCATATTTAGCTTGTGATCCACTATGACCCCCCAGACCCCTTTCCGCAGTCCTCCTTCCTAGGCAGTCATTTCCCATTGTGTATGTGTGCAACTGCTTCTTCCTTCCTAAGTGGAGTACTTTGCATTTCTCCTTATTGAATTTCATCCTATTCAGATCATTTCTCCAGTTTGTCCAGAGCATTTTGAATTTTAATCCTGTCCTCCAAACCACTTGCAACCCCTCTCAGCTTGGTATCGTCCACACACTTTATAAGTGTACTCTCTATGCCATGATCTAAACCAGGGGTCGGCAACCTGCAGCACGCGGGCCAAAGGCGGCACGCGTACTGATTTTTAATGGCACGCTGCTGCCAGCCGGGGTCCCAGCCGCCGGCCCCGCTGAGACCGCTGCCAGCCTGGATTACAGAACCCCAGATCAGCTGCTTAGCCCGCTGCCGGTCTGGGGTTCTGGCCGCCGGCCCCTTGCCAGCCGGGGTCCCGCTGCTGGCCTGGATGGACAGAACCCAGGCCGGCAGTGGGCTGAGTGGGGCCGGTGGCCGGGACCCTGGCTGTCAGGCGGTGGTGGCCCGCTGCCGGCCTGGGGTTCTGTCTGCCGCCCGCGCTGCCGGTCTGGCACGCGGAACCTTTTACTGGCACGCGAAACCTTAAATTAATGACTTGGCACACCACTTCCCAAAGGTTGCCGACCCCTGATCTAAATCAATGGGAGTTATGTGCCTAAATACCTTTGAGGATCAGAGCTGAACTGCCCAGCCATTGCACCATCACAGGCCTGGTGCATGCTCAGCCCTAGAGCAGGGTCCCTCCAGTGGGGAGGTCCGTGCTGCCCACGCTGCGTCAGGGGCCTTTGGTCTGCAGAGCCATCAAGGGAGCACTGGACTTGAAGGCTGCGTTCTGTGCTCTCGCTTCCCTTTCCCACAGCAGAGGGCAGCACGGGGTCCCGCAGCCCTTCTCAGGTCTGGCTCCAAGGCTAGAGAGAAGCATGCAGCAACAGCATCCGCTTCTTTGCCTGGCTCCCATCACGTGTGGCGTTCCTCGCTGGCAAGTGGGGTCAGGCGTCCGCTGGGACCCTGCCCAGAGCAAGGAGGGCTCGCTGTGCCCAAGGTGCAGGCCCAGAGACACCAGCCCCCCAAATAGGAAGTTTAGGGTTCCCTGACTGTGGAGTCCAGGCCAGGGCTTAGGGAGACCCTGCACGGTGACACCAGGCAGCACGTATCATGAGTCAGAGAGAGCCACCAGGTCTCTCTGTGCCCAGCACCCCTGGTAGAGTCATGACAGCCTAGGCCTAGCTCTTCACCACCATGGGGGATTGCTACCTGAGACATCCCCTGGAGTTCTCAGCCTGGTCCCACAGCGTCCCACAAGCTGCCCAAGTCCCCATTGCCCTGAATTCTGTGGGCCCCTGCCCAGAATCCCTTGCTGTTGCTCCAATACACCAGGAGCGTTGGTGGCTGTGCCATCTGGGGTCAAAGTCACCGCCAGAGTGCCTCCAAATCCGACCGTTTCCCATGGCCACGGTGCACTCGCCGGCCCAAGCTGCCGTCAACGGACCGGCTCTGCCTCGTGAAATGCGCCGGGACTTAACTTAGACCCCCCAGGAAATAACCACATCGCCCTGCAGTCTTCTTCCTGTGCTTTGTGCACTTGTCACGAGTTGCTACAGACTGTAATTACTGGGGGGGGGGTCCCTTTGCAACCAGAAGGGCCCATTTTTAGATGCACCCTTGGATTCCGTCACCATCCCCAGCAAGTATTGGCAGGGTCTTGGTGAGACACTCCAGATGGGGGATTGCTCAGAGCAGGGAATCCTAGAAACCTGGAACCACAGGGTTAGAAGGGACCGCAGGGGTCATGTAGTCAATCCCCCTGCCAAGATGCAGGATTTGTTGTGTCTACAAGACACTGGGAACCACTTCCAAACTGGTTCGGGTGCCAGTTCCCCAAAAGCCATTGCTAAACGCCGGTGACTGTGCGCCACTGTCTAGAACAGCACATGTGGGAGCCGCTCAGCGGGTGAGGAACTGAAGCTGCCCTTTCTCTGCGTGCCAGCCCCTCCGCTCACGTGCTGACCACACGCTGCGGCAGCAGCAGCGAAAGGGTTAACGTGGTTCCCCTTTCCCTGTCTCTGTGGCCGACCGACCCAGCACCCCAGATCGGAACATCGTTCCCCCAAATGCCCCGTTGGCCCCTATTTCTGTAAATGGACTGACCCAGGAACCCAGCTCGGGAAACCTGCTCTCCCCAAGCCAGGTGCCAGCTCTCCCCAAGCCAGTGATTGGCAGGACCAGCATCACTAACCCAGCTCCCTCCCCCCTGAATGTGGGTCTGAACTGGATCCCAACTGCCCCCCATTTCTATAGACAGGCAGACCCAGCCCCCCAGCTCCAAACACTCCTGGAGTTTTGTAGACGCTCAGAGCCAACCGAACTTTGCAGCTAGTGAAACCCCAGCTCTGGGGAGGCCCCTTCCCCACCCCAGCTGCCCTCCGCTCCCCCCGCCCCGTTCCTCCCACCCGGCAGAGTCCCCGCTCTTTGCTGGAGCCTGGACATTTGTTAGCAATTAGGGCTGGCGGGAGGGAGCGGGGAGCAGCCTGTCTTCTCCAGCACATACTTTGTGTGTTGTATTCCGGCGGGCGGGCGAGCTCGGGCGGAGAGAACTCCGAGGCCGGCTCGCCCCAGGCCGCGGCCATGGGAGGAGTGGAGGCTGCCGGGGGAGACCCGCTGCTCGGGGTGGTTTTGAAATAGCGAGGAAGTTGATCTGGGCTCCCGACCAAGGAGCGAGAGGGAGAGAGGAAAGGGGGAGCCGGGAGGAGCCAGGATCATGCACTCGGCTTGTTGAAGCCCAGCAGGCCAGACGGGGATGCCTGCGAGGAGAGGCGACCCCGGTGCAGAGCGCTAAGGGGGGAAGTGTTGGCACGGAGGGGGCTGTGGGGCCTTTCCCATCCAGGGGCTGACCAGCCTCCCTTCCCGTGTGTTCCTCGCCCCAGAACCCGCTTGCTTGGACCCCTGTGAGAGGACCATGAAAGGTGAGTTCTGCGCCCGGGTACGGCAGCCCCTGCGAGGCACAGGGGCCCTTTTGTCTCCTGGCAGCCCCGGGCGAGGTGGGAGTATCTAGCCCGGGGCTAACGGCACTGGGGAGGCAGCTGGCCGGGAATGGACCCAGTGAACTGGGAGCGCTGAAAGTCGGGAGGTTGAGGAGAGACAGGCAGATTCACAGATCCCAAGTCCGGAAGGGACCCCCTGTTCTGAGCCTCCCTGTCTAACGGAGGCCAGAGAACCTGCCCTGGTATCGACACAGCATTAAATTCAGATACAGAATTGGGGACAGCAAGGGAGGCAGCCGGGATGGGGGAGAGGGTTTGGGAGCAGAGAGGGGAGGGGGCAAGGGATAGTTTTGTGGGACAAGGTGGGGAAGGGGCTGAGAGGTGAGAAATCCCCTCCGACCAGCCCCTCCCTGTCTGTCCCAACCCCCCTGCTCCGTCTGCTTGTGGCAGGATCCTGAAGAGGGAGCCCCCAGCACGGATCCAGGGCTTCCCCCATCCCTGTGCCAAGGATGTCGTCCCCTCAGTGCAGTGCGTGTCCCCGGGGACTTGTGCAAGATCAGCCGCACGAGGAGCTGCCTCCCCGTCCCCCCGGGCCAGCCGCTGTCCCTCCCAATCAGCCCAGCCTGTGTGCCACCGGGCAGCGGTGAGCAAGGATGCTGCTAGTCACCCTGCCTGGAGGGATACATCCTTCCTGGTGCGCAGGGGAGCACGTGGCAGGCTGCCAGCTCCGGGACGGGGATTGGGAGTGAGTCTGTTCCGCGCCTGAGTACTATGGGGACAGAGAGAGATTGATCCTGCGCCCAGCGCAGCAGGAGTAGGTGGATGGATGGATTCCAAGGGACAGAGAACCAAGGTCAGGAGAACAGCGTGGAAGCTTCTCTGATTGCATCTTAGCTCACGGGGATTTCTGAGTGCCCGCCTGGTATCTTCACCCCTGCTTAGAGACACTGGAGAGCATTGCGTACCCCCGGAGCGGGCTGCTTAGAGAGCTGAGTAGCAGGTTTGGAAGGTCCTAAAGCCACAGTTTCCCTGCCTAGGAAGGTTAGTACAGGAGAAAGGGTTAGCGATTGTAACGTGGTTGGATGCCATGATAATGGGTAAGGACCTGACAGCCACATGGGAGGGTTGGCTCAGCCTTTTGTCTTTTCAAGGCAGAGAAACCGAGTTCCGTGCAGCAGGGTCCCTCCACCCCAGAGCGGGCCGCATTTCAGGCTTGCTGCCTGTATACAATGTGTAAAGCTCGCTAGGGTGAAAGGCAGAGTTTAGGGTGATGGCGGTGGCTGATTCTCATTGGAGCAGGTCCAGCCATTCCCCCCCCACACACACACCCTGCAGCTGTAACGCAGGCGCTTGCAGGGGACCTGAAAGCAGTGGGCACTGGCTCATGGGGAAATGGGGGGCAGCCTGGGCATGTTCCAAACTGGCTGCCCAGAAATAACCAGCCGAGGGCCGAGAGTTCCAGCTAAACCGTAAACTGGCTCCCATCACGCCGTCAGACGGTAAATATTTGAGCCGCTCACCGTGATGCTGCGTGTGATGGAGAGTCAGAGGGCAGCTTTCCTGCCTTGGAAAATGACATGTGCCCGGCTGGGCTCCGACAGTCCCTTTCCAGGACTCTCCTAGTTTTGTAAAGGAGACGGAGTTTTATAAGCTGTTGCTAAATGCGACCCGGTCAGAGGCTGAAATTCAGGCCTCGCTGAAGATCTGTTTGCAAAGCCTGTGGAGTCACACATGGAAAACTGGGTTAATTTAGCGCTCGAGAGCATTTGCTCAGAACACCGCGAGCATTAAAGAGGAATCCGGAGCGCAGGTCTGGAAAACCTGCCTTACAATGAAAGAATTCAGGAGCTCGGTCTGTTTAGCTCATGGAAGGGAAGGCTCAGAGCGGTGACTGAATCAGGGTCTGTGTGTTCCTAGGCAGGGGGAAGATCTCTGATATTAGGGGGCCCTTCAAGCTACTGGCAAAGGCAGAACAAAGTCTAATGACTAGGAGTAGAAGCTAAGGCCAATTGAAGGGTAATTAACCATTGGAACGATTTACCAAGGGGTTGTGGTGGGTTCATAGAATCATCGGAGTGGAAGGGACCTCAGTAGACAATCTAGTCCAGTCCCCTGCACTGAGGCAGGACTAAGTTTTATCTCTCAAACTTCATTGCATCGTGACTTCCTTTTGATAATAAAAATTACGACATGGCCCCAGGAGGGGGGACCGAAGCCTGAACCAGCCCGAGCCCCGTGTTGTGTGTGTGTGGGGGGAACAAAGCCGAAGCCCAAAGGCATCATTCCCAGGCAGGGGCCTGTAATCTGAGTCCCGACGCCCAGGGCTAAAGCCCTCGGGCTTCGGCCCCGGGCGGTGGTGCTTGGGCTTCAGCGACGGCCCCAGCAAGTCTAAACCCGACCAGACCTGCTAACCTCGTTAACATGGGGTCCCGACCCACCATTTGAGAACTGCTGATCTAGACCATCCCGGCCACGGGTTTGTCTAACCTGCTCTTCAAAACCTCCCTTGACAGAGATTCCACAACCTACCTCAGCAATTTATTCCAGTGCTTAGCTACCCCGACAGGAAGTCTTTCCTACTGTCTAACCTAAATCTCCCTTGCTGCAATTTAAGCCCATTGCTTCTTGTCCTGTCCTCGGTGGATAAGGAGAACAATTTACCACCCTCCTCTTTGTACATACTTAAAGACCGTTATCATGTCCCGCCTCAGTGTTCTCTTCTCCAGACTAAACAAACCCAACTTTTTCAATCTTCCCTTGTAGGTCGTGTTTTCTAGATCTTTAATCATGTTTGTTGGTATTATCCACAGACTTTATCAGTGGACTCTCTATGCCATTATCCCAATCATTTCTGGAGATATTGAATAGAACCAGAACCAGACCCAGAATAGATCCCTGTGGGACCCCACTCATTATGCCCTTCCAGCCTGGCCTGGACTATTGATAACTTCTCTCTGAGTATGATTTTCCAACCAGTTGTGTACCCACCTTATAGTAGCTCCATCTAGGTTGTATTTCCCTAGTCTGCTCATGAGAAAGTCACGTGAGACAGTATCAAAAGTCTTCCTGAAGTCGAGCGTTATCGTATCTCCGTCACTGGCAATTTTTCAATTGTGAGTGGATTTTTTTTAAACAGCCGCTCTAGTTCAGACAGGAATTAGGGCCTGTGTGATGCAGGTCAGACTAGATGATCACAACGGTCCCTGCTGGCTTTAAAATTTGCCATTCTCTGAGGCTAGGCAACATCCACACCCAACCTAGCATCGGGACACAGACAGACCACTCACTCCCCCACGCTCCCTTTCAATTCAACCAACAGGCAGCTTCAGCCAAAAAAGCGAACAGAATGCTGGGAATAAATAAGAAAGGGTTAGATAATAGGACAGAAAATATCATGTTGCCTCTGTATAAATCCATGGTACGCCCACATCTTGAATACTGTGTGCAGATGTGGTCGCCCCAGCTCAAAAAAATATATTGGAATTGGAAAAAGTCCAGAAAAGGGCAACAAAAACGATTAGGGGGTATAGAACGGGTTCTGTATGAGGAGAGGTTAATAAGACTGGGACTTGTCAGCTTGGAAAAGAGACAGCTAAGGGGGGAAATATGATTGAGGTCTATAAAATCATGACTGATGTGGAGAAAGTAAATAAGGAAGTGTAATTTACTCCTTCTCATAACACAAGAACTAGGGGTCACCCAATGAAATTAATAGGCAGCAGGTTTAAAACAAACAAAAGGAAGTATTTCTTCACACAGTTCACAGTCAACCCGTGGAACTCCTTGCCAGAGGATGTTGTGAAGGCCAACACCATATCAGGGTTCAAAAAAGAACTAGATATATTCATGGAGGATAGGTCCATCGATGGCTATTAGCCAGGATGGACAGGGATGGTGTCCCTAGCCTCTGTTTGCCAGAAGCTGGGAATGAGCAACAGGGGATGGATCACTGGAAGATTCCCTGTTCTGTTCATTCCCTCTGGGGCACCTGGCACTGGCCACTTTCAGAAGACCGGATACTGGGCTAGATGGACCTTTGGTCTGACCCAGTAGGGCCGTTCTTATGTTCAGTGCACACATCAGAGGACTGAAAATCACCCTTAATAATCCCAACCTCCCACTGCTACATTAGTTAATAACTTGAGGACCAGTATTATCTTCAAACTACACTCCCAGCTTCTCCACGTCCAATAAGTGAGCCAGAGAAGCAGTATAGAGTGGCAAGACTGCTCAGCGTGGCTCACCTTATCAGGAATATGGGTGTCTCCCATCCAATTTGCACGTCTAGTTGATATGAACTCATGCGCCCCATTTCATACGTGTTCATAATATGCTGTCCAAGGAAATAACCAAGGACCTAGGTCTGAGTTACGGTTGGGCGTTGGCATGTAATTTGTCACTTGCTTGATGCTTTGCGTGTCCCATTGGTACAGTGTTTGGCTTGGCCTCCTCAGATGTGTTCCTGGATGGATGCAGAGAGAGGAGATAGACCTGAGAGGGGAAGCATGCCTAATGGTTAGGCCACAGACAGGGCATCACAGCTGCTGGATTCTAGTCACAGCCCTGCCATTGACCTTACTTTGTGGCCTTGGGCAAGTTATGCCTCCCCTTGCCTCAGTTTCCCCATCTATGAAATGGCAACAATGACGCTGGCCTCCCAGTAGGGGGCTGGGAGGCTCCATGTTTGTCATAACAGCCCTTTGCCATCTTGCGGTGGCAGTGCTGCGGAAACGCAAAGCATTAATCTTTGTGGTGGCAGTTTGCGTCTGGGATGTTTCAGATGCGAACGCTAAAAGGGACCCTTTATGATCATCTAGTCCCATTCCTGCTGGCGGGAATCATCGGCAGAAACCCCTCTTCTCTCTCTGGCTATGTGCGGGGAGAGCACAGTCGGAGCTCTGCTGGAAGGAGCAGGTATGTTGTACCCCGGAATCGGTAATGGTCAGGGCTTGCTGCGGCAGGGCATCTGGCTCCAATGACCG